GTTTTCTTTCTCCATGATGGTTTAGGGCAAACCACTGCGTCTAAATGTTAGTGGTCTGCGCAAAGTGTCTTCTTGATCGCAGTTACCATTGGTCATTGCCTGGTAGTTGATTAGTTTCCTAATCCTAGTACCCTATTGTTTAGTATGTGAGTGTTCAATTTATCAGCTTGTCCCCTCCGCAGTGGCCTATTCGAGAGTAGTTGCATGGCTAGTGTAGGAGCCTCGATTGTGTCGCTTCAACAAGTTCAAAGGGCTACATATTTGGGTTCTGTCTTATTGCATCAAGTTACTTTAGCCGCCCCCATGATTGTGTCATTAGTGGCGCCTAGTGTCAACCCAAGCCCTGTTTGTTTGTCATGGAATGAGATCGGGAATAATATGCAAATTCAAGCTCCCATCAATATTGTGACAAGAGCAAATTTTCACTTGCATTTATTTGTAGATTCATATTTACTACCTCCGTTTGGAAATAACTGACGTAGTTTTAGTTCAAATTTGTGAACTAAAACTAAAACCACTTCCGTTATTTCCGAATGGAGGCAGTACCATTTTCAACCACCAGATTGGCAGGCGTGTTCCGAGAATTCCTTTGGCTTTGTGCTAATATATGTATTCTTATTAAGTTGTCGGAATACTCCGACCTGTCCTTTCATCCCCATAAAGGATAATATACATACTCTGTGCCAGTCTAGTCTAGTGTGAGGAAACCCTGGCATTATCCTGAGAGACAGAGAGAGAACTAGCCAGCATGGATCTGATTAGTGTTGTTGTATCCAGCATGAACAATGCACATGACAAAACTGCAGGTAAGGAGATGAAAGAAAGAACTCCCACCCACGGTTTTTCAGATGTCTGTGGATCTGATTAGTCCCTTCACTGGCTTTCAGATGTCCTAACATGCTGTGGTGTGCCGGCGCCCTTTTAGCAGTTTTAAGGGCTAAGCAGCAGCAGCAGCAGCAGCCCCAAACTGCCGTTTTCTGGTAAGCTTGACTGCTTGAGGACCATGAATAGCCTTTCTTGGAGCCATTAAACAACCAACCCACGGTTGCCTTTCTTGATTGCAGGGCATGTATGGCCACTTGATCCTGTCTGCGGCGCGGCGTGGCGCGGCGCATGGTCCTCAATCATGCCCCCTGACCCTGAGCACTGTGTTATCAAGGGTCCATCTATGCATGATCACACTGGTGAGTAAGTATTCTTCTCCCCTCTTAATCCTTATATCATAATAAGCCAGTAATACAATAGTAGGAGCATGCATTTGGACTCACAAGTGTCCCTTCTAAGGCTCAAAAGTGTTGACTGCATGTGGGCTGGTGGGGTGGGGTGGGGTGGGGGATGGGGGGCTGTCCTGAGATACTGCAGCACATATCCTTGCCCCTTCTATATAAACCAAGATTTGCACCACTGCATCCCATCATACATACCAGCATCATCTCAAGAGTAGAGCCTTGACCTGAACCTAAACCTCTCATACTGCAGCACATATCCTGTTCTGGTGGATGCCATGGAGCAGGGGAAGAAGAAGCACGCGGGGAGGCTGCAGAAGGTTCTGAGGGAGCAGAAGGCCAGGGTCTACATCATCCGCCGCTGCGTCGTCATGCTTCTCTGCTGGAGTGACTGATCTGGGCTCATTAGAGGCACAGCCACAATGTTCCTTCCCTTCATTAATTCTCTCCTGCTTTCCTCTCCATGTTTTTTTTCACATTGGCCTTTACCCTATGATGAAGGTTCTCTGTTTTTCTTGCCTCCTTGCAATGGCAAGGGTGACTGATGTTGTAAAGTTGGAGGGTGTTAATACGGACTAACAGTATGCTTTTTCCTCTGGAACTCGATCTTTGCGGCTGCTTGAGCTTCACAAAGGCCTGAGTTCAGAACATAATACTTGCAAAAATAGTATGTTCATATGGGAGCAATCTGCTTGCATTTCTGGCCTCTGAGTAGTATTCTTGATATAGTAAGCAGGCATGGACGCATGCCTTGGTTTAATAAAATAGAACATATCCTCTCTAGGGAAAGGTAGTGCATGTGCAGGGCTACAAGAGGGGCTGAAAGGTTAGATTCCTTCTGATTAAACTACATAAAAATTACGTTATAAACTGGGAAAAAAACGCCCCAGCCAAAGTTTCACATTGTCGGTGCGGTATAAAACAGTGCTGTAGATTTTGTTCATCAGCTAGATGTGGTACGCCAATGGAGTTACTAGAGAGTTAGAGCTTTGGGGAAAAACTTTGGAATCGAAAGGTTTTAAGCTTAGTAGAACGGAAACTGAGTACATGCGGTGCGGCTTCAGTACTACTAGGCACGAGGAGGAGGAGGAGGAGGAGGAGGAGGAGTGTTATGGCGCTGCTAGAAGGAGGGCGCGAGAGGGCCGACCGGGGGCCTTTCTGCCCACGGCCGGGCATGAGGGAAGGGATTTCCTTCTTAATTCTTGCTTGATTAGATTGATACATCTCCTCTCTTTATATAGAGAGGTTTACTTGACTCCCAAGCAAGGCTTACTTGAACCCTAAGCAAGCGACCCTTATCTCTAATTAACCCTAAGACTAACGGGCCCATTAAGCCCATTACGTACTCTAACACTACACCCCACCTGCACATGCAGCTTGTCCTCGAGCTACAGCCCAACCAACTTATAACCATGACTCGACGCAACACAAACCTAACACCTAAAAACAAGCCTTTTACATCTCGGCTTGTTGTATTATTCTCAACCTGGAATGGACTGGGACGCTTTATTTTGGACCCCTTAACAAAAAGTGGACACCATCCGCACATCGGACGTGCACGTGTACAACCACCTGGATCCCATGGACACCATCGGGACAAAAGGAGCGCATGTGTATGATCACCTGGAAGTGGTCGCAAGAGTTACCAGCAGAGGCGCCCTCGCGGCGGCCGGTGGCGGAATGCAGTGGTGCTACGCGGTGCACTGTTGTCGGTGACACCATGCCTTCTCCCTGCCGGACGACTGTTGGTCTGCACCGCAGAAGGAAGAGTGGAGGGCTTGCGATGGAGAATGACGAGGAGGGGTGCGCCCCCCCCCTCCCCCAACCGCCAATGTCGCAGACTTTGAGGTTGCTGCCCGCGGGGAAAACAGCATGCCCGCCGCCCGTGGGGGCAACCGCATGCCCAAGATCCCCGACGCAGCGGATGAGATCGAGGTCCTTTGCGCAGCGAAGGGCAACTTGGAGGAGCGGCAGCTGCAGACCACGCATCTCCCGCACACGCCGACGCGCTAGGAGGCCGCGTGCAGCAGCCTGCAGCCTCACCGTCGCCGACACGTGGCGGGTAGCGATCCAAGATGGAAGCGGTGATGGCGACGGCGGGGACTGGACTTGGTGGAGCGGGACTCCCGCCGGCGCGGTCGATGCGGGGCCGGAGCTGACGGGCGGTGGCTGCTGCGGTGGCGCACCGGGTAGCGGTTGCTGCAGCGGAGCGCCGGGCGCGGCGGAGGCCGCCAGGAGTGGCGGCTGCCATTGCAGCCAGGGCTGGGCGATGGTGACGATGGATGGCAGCTGCAGTGTCCCGACGAGCGCGGCGAAGGCCGCCTGGTGCGGCGGCTGCCACGGCAGCCGCGGCGGCGCGGGGGCGGCGATGGGCGCTGGAGGCGCGGAGGGAGCCGGCGCCGGCCACTGCGGCCACTGCGGGGCAGCGATGGGCGGCGGCGGCAGCTGCAGCTGGGGCAGCAGCGTCCCAGCGAACGCCGCGGAGGCCCCTGGATGCAGCGAGTACCACGGCAGGGCCGGCGGCCCGGTGGCGGCGGCCAGCAGGGGCTGGCCAGGTGATGGGGTTATGTACCTAGGGTAGGGTCATGGACCTGATCCAAGTAACTTACCCCAGGACATCCTTAGAAGAGGTCGCCTTCCAGTCGACCAACGAGGATTCACTCGACTGGCCTGAAGGACTCGACCACGAAGACTCACTCGACCACCAGGAGGTCAAGAGGCACTCTGCACTGCAACGGCCTGCAATCAAGTAGACTTTATGATAGTAAAGGCCTTTATGTGGGGCGTTACCAGTAACGCCCCAGACTTAACTCATCTTAAACCCTCTCCTACGTGGGCTGGCTGGGGTTCTGGCGCACTCTATATAAGCCACCCCCCTCCACAGGCAGAGGGGTTCGGCACCTTGTAGTTCATACACTCATAATCCACTCGATCGCCTCCGGGCTCCGAGACGTAGGGCTGTTACTTCTTCCGAGAAGGGCCTGAACTCGTACATCCTTTGTGCTTACAACCTCTCCATAGCTAGGACCTTGCCTCTCCATACCTACCCCCCACTCTACTGTCAGGCTTAGAACCACGACAGTTGGCGCCCACCTTGGGGCAGGTGTTTTAGCGATTTTGTGGAGAAGTTGCAATTCTTCCGAGTACTTTCATCATGGTGTCTGCTGGAGTTTTGGTAGAGGGTCAAGAGATCCGTCTCGGCGCTCTCACCTTCATCGCCGACGACTCCGCATGGCTCCAGGAGGCTCCACTCGACGTAGATGCGCTCCTTGTCCGCGGTGCGACGCATTTTCGCGCATGTGTCCGCGGCGTTCTGCTGCGGCAACCGTCGACCCAGTATCGGTCGGCTCCTCCATCATCCACCCTCCCGGTCTCCCGCCAGCGCAAGCGCTCAGGCCGGTCGAGGCTTCAGCGATGGGTGAGTCACGCGGTGGCTCGCCAATCGGCCACTACCCAAGTTGCGGCAATCGAGCCCAACGAATCTCTCTACGGCTTGTTCGATCAGTCGACTGGCTCCGTAGGGACTGCATCCGAGTGTAGAAGCAGTGATCCAGCGGCGGAAATCTTGATGGTCGACGGGCCCCACAGCCCTCCTGGCTTCGCCCGTGGTGGTGGAGCAGGTGACGGCGGCGACCCTGCACGAGACTACGAAGAAGTAAACCCCCGAGGCTCGTGCCTTGGAGGAGGCACGTCTGGCCAATTTGGCCGAGCGCACTCGACTGGAGAACCTTCAGCGAGCACTCGACGAGCGCGCGCGGCAACGAGTTCCCGACACCAGTCGACGTCAACTCTTCCCGCCGACTCAGGTATATCGAACCCCAATTCAGAATTTAGCAGCTGCGACCCGTATAGCAGAGTCCATCCAACCTTCGCAGTCGGAAGCTGGCAGAGGTTTGCTGTAGATCAGGGATCTGCTCCGGGCAGCGGGAGATCAGAATTCAGCCGTGTCTCAGTCGTGCAACAGAATTCACAGTCGATCCGTCACTGTGAATATGGTTCAGTCGGCTCACAGCCCCAGATCGCCTCCGCGGCGCGAAGGGCGTGAGAATCGGCGAGATCAATATGACGACAGACTCGACCGAGATGATAGGCGTCGAGTGCCCTATTCCCCTCCGAGGGGTGGGTCTTACGCTCCTCGGCAGCCAGATGATAGGCGTCAGTACAGTACAGGGCGTAGGGTTCCAGTTGACCCCAGAGAGCCAGGCTTCGACGCGCGATCCATTATCATGCAAGGGTTGGTCGACCGGAACAGAGCCCATCGAGGCGCACTCGACAGAGATGTACCCACAAGCAGTCGAGCGCATGTTTCTGGTCCTGAATGTTTCAGCAGAGCTATCAGAGCCGCAGTTATTCCCCCCAATTTCAGGTTGGCAACAGGAGTCAGCAAGTTCACTGGTGAGTCTAAGCCTGAAACTTGGCTTGAAGACTACCGAGTGGCAGTTCAGATTGGTGGTGGGAACGACGAGGTAGCCATGAAGCATTTACCCCTCATGTTGGAAGGTTCTGCCAGGGCATGGTTGACTCAATTACCTCCTAGCAGCATTTACACTTGAGAAGATCTGTCCCGAGTGTTCGTCCGAACGTTTGAAGGGACTTGCAAGCGACCAGCTGGATTGACAGAGTTGCAAGTCTGCGTGCAGAAGGCTAATGAGACTCTCAGAGAGTATATTCAGAGGTGGATCACTTTGCACCACACTGTGGAAAATGTCTCTGATCATCAGGCAGTATGCGCCTTCAAAGACGGCGTCAAGAACAGAGAATTGAGTTTGAAATTTGGTCGAACCGGTGACATGACTTTGAGTCGGATGATGGAGATTGCTACCAAATACGCCAATGGCGAAGAAGAAGACCGACTCTGAAGCGGCAAGCACAAGCCGAGTCAGTCGGAAAAGGGAAACACCAGTCGGAAACAGAAGCGGAAGGCTGAACCGGCAGCTCCTGGAGAGGCTTTGGCCGTGACTCAAGGAAAGTTTAAGGGGAAACCAAAAGGATCCTGGAACCCTAAGAAGGTGAAGGATAAAGAAGGGAACGACGTGTTGGATATGCCATGTCACATTCACACGAAGAAAGACGAATAGGGCAATATCATTTACCCAAAGCACACCACTCGCCAATGTCGACTCCTGATCCAACAGTTTCAAGGAAAACAGTCTAAGGACAAGGAGAAGGAGTCGGACAAGGCCGAAGACAAAGAGGACAGTGAGGGAGGATATCCGCATATCAACTCCACTCTGATGATCTTTGCAGATGTGGAAAGCAGAAGTCGACTGAAAGTGATTAACCGAGAGGTGAACATGGTTGCTCCAGCAAAGGAAAATTATCTGAAGTGGTCTCAAACACCCATCACATTCGACCAATCTGATCACCCGACTCATATTGCCACCCCTGGGAGGCA